GAAAGTCCATGTTTACATTCTGATCCAACGAGCAAAACTATAAACTTCTTGTTGAATTTATTTCCTCAGAGATAAAAATCCTGTCTGGTCAACATTCTTTACTGTATTATTTATATTCACTGTTCAAAATGTAGAGAGTGAACAAATAACTTCTTTCATTTATTTTCCTATTTGCTGAAGCACGTTTCAAAGTTCAGAGGTCAAAGAATTTATCCAAAAACCACAAACATGCAGGATAGGTTCTTTTTAAGTTTTAAAAATGTCTTTTTCCCCCCGTTTGTTTGAGTGATGTTATATTGCGGCCCTCCTGCGGGGTTGGAGTGTACAGGACGATATTGGTAACAAACGTTTGAAGTGTGTATGTTTGTTAACATTTATCTGCCTGTGTTTACAGATAACCTTTTGACATACAAAACAATAAAAGGTTTACAAACAGCCAATTAGCTACAACCGTCTAGGCCTGCAATCTTCCAGCCTGGACGTATTTCATGCTTGCACAAAATTGGAAACGTAAGATAAAGGGTCTGGTTTACTTGTTCTATATGACTTATTAATTTAGATGTATGGTTTCCGTGCGGAGGCCATGCTTTATAGCACTCTAATGCCCTTAGGCTGCAGACTAATTTTGAGGTTTAAGACTTTTTTTCACCCCCAACGTCTCTTGTGACTTCTGTCTAGGACTTTCTATTTTACAGGGTTTTCATGCCTCCAGAAACACTGATCTACAGTTTTGAAGATGTGCACCTATTCTAGGTGTTTTTTCTTCTTTTCTTTTTTTTGTAGAATATAAAATTGTCAGACAGATGATGTATAAAACATGTATCACTTTTCTTTTGTTTCTGTCGTAAGCTAGACCTCCCATTGTGTCCTAAGCCATGCGATCTCTAGTGTCTTGATGAAGACCATTCATTGTGTCCTAAGCCATGCGGTCTCTAGTGTCTTGATGAAGACCATTTATTGTGTCCTAAGCCATGCAGTCTCTAGTGTCTTGATGAAGACCATTCATTGTGTCCTAAGCCATGCAGTCTCTAGTGTCTTGATGAAGACCATTCATTGTGTCCTAAGCCATGCAGTCTCTAGTGTCTTGATGAAGACCATTCATTGTGTCCTAAGCCATGCAGTCTCTAGTGTCTTGATGAAGACCATTCATTGTGTCCTAAGCCATGCAGTCTCTAGTGTCTTGATGAAGACCATTCATTGTGTCCTAAGCCATGCAGTCTCTAGTGTCTTGATGAAGACCATTCATTGTGTCCTAAGCCATGCAGTCTCTAGTGTCTTGATGAAGACCATTCATTGTGTCCTAAGCCATGCAGTCTCTAGTGTCTTGATGAAGACCATTCATTGTGTCCTAAGCCATGCAGTCTCTAGTGTCTTGATGAAGACCATTCATTGTGTCCTAAGCCATGCAGTCTCTAGTGTCTTGATGAAGACCATTCATTGTGTCCTAAGCCATGCAGTCTCTAGTGTCTTGATGAAGACCATTCATTGTGTCCTAAGCCATGCAGTCTCTAGTGTCTTGATGAAGACCATTCATTGTGTCCTAAGCCATGCAGTCTCTAGTGTCTTGATGAAGACCATTCATTGTGTCCTAAGCCATGCAGTCTCTAGTGTCTTGATGAAGACCATTCATTGTGTCCTAAGCCATGCAGTCTCTAGTGTCTTGATGAAGACCATTCATTGTGTCCTAAGCCATGCAGTCTCTAGTGTCTTGATGAAGACCATTCATTGTGTCCTAAGCCATGCAGTCTCTAGTGTCTTGATGAAGACCATTCATTGTGTCCTAAGCCATGCAGTCTCTAGTGTCTTGATGAAGACCATTCATTGTGTCCTAAGCCATGCAGTCTCTAGTGTCTTGATGAAGACCATTCATTGTGTCCTAAGCCATGCAGTCTCTAGTGTCTTGATGAAGACCATTCATTGTGTCCTAAGCCATGCAGTCTCTAGTGTCTTGATGAAGACCATTCATTGTGTCCTAAGCCATGCAGTCTCTAGTGTCTTGATGAAGACCATTCATTGTGTCCTAAGCCATGCAGTCTCTAGTGTCTTGATGAAGACCATTCATTGTGTCCTAAGCCATGCAGTCTCTAGTGTCTTGATGAAGACCATTCATTGTGTCCTAAGCCATGCAGTCTCTAGTGTCTTGATGAAGACCATTCATTGTGTCCTAAGCCATGCAGTCTCTAGTGTCTTGATGAAGACCATTCATTGTGTCCTAAGCCATGCAGTCTCTAGTGTCTTGATGAAGACCATTCATTGTGTCCTAAGCCATGCAGTCTCTAGTGTCTTGATGAAGACCATTCATTGTGTCCTAAGCCATGCAGTCTCTAGTGTCTTGATGAAGACCATTCATTGTGTCCTAAGCCATGCAGTCTCTAGTGTCTTGATGAAGACCATTCATTGTGTCCTAAGCCATGCAGTCTCTAGTGTCTTGATGAAGACCATTCATTGTGTCCTAAGCCATGCAGTCTCTAGTGTCTTGATGAAGACCATTCATTGTGTCCTAAGCCATGCAGTCTCTAGTGTCTTGATGAAGACCATTCATTGTGTCCTAAGCCATGCAGTCTCTAGTGTCTTGATGAAGACCATTCATTGTGTCCTAAGCCATGCAGTCTCTAGTGTCTTGATGAAGACCATTCATTGTGTCCTAAGCCATGCAGTCTCTAGTGTCTTGATGAAGACCATTTATTGTGTCCTAAGCCATGCAGTCTCTAGTGTCTTGATGAAGACCATTTATTGTGTCCTAAGCCATGCAGTCTCTAGTGTCTTGATGAAGACCATTCATTGTGTCCTAAGCCATGCGGTCTCTAGTGTCTTAATGAAGACCATTCATTGTGTCCTATGCAATCCTATATATTGTGTCCTGCATACAGATGGTCCAACTCATGTGTTACAAGCACACTGTACTCACGAAGTTTGGAATAGGGGATGGAATTGAAAAGAATAGCTGGTTGAACATTGGCTTGCTTTGATTTTTAATCTACACAAAGACATTACCAGTTCCTATGTGATGAACAGCAGGCTACTTTTGCCAGTAATCAGGTTTTAATCAGAACACTATAACATAATGTCACATTCAGATCTTTCGATAGATTTCTGCTTTATATTTTCGTAAAGCAAATCCTGGGTTAGAATATCTAACATTGCTGCCCTATTGCTGCCCTCTGTAACATTGCTGCCCTCTGTAACATTTGACTTATGTTTGGTGTTAAACGTTAACTATTTGGGCTGACAGGAAATCGGCAGTTACACAATGCAGCAAATATTTTTCACAGCAAAATAGAAAAAGACATGTTGAGACATGTTTATGTACTTCAACGGGGCGGAGGATTTTATGGCGAAAATAATAATTCCCAGTAATACATCATATTACGGTGTCATATGTATTGTATTCTACTCCTGACATCAGGGAAACTGTAAATATCCATTCTTGTTTCCAACACAGGGTACCAGACTTTCCTGTCCATATTTCACTCCCTTACTTCTATCTCAGTGATTAGGTCATTACGCCGACCTCCTGTCAATGCACGAAGGCTGTACTGGTAGGCCTTGTAAACATATTAGTTTTTTTACAAATGGTGGTCATAAAATATTGATTCACCGAAGATTGTCCATTTAAAATTATCTCTGAATACGGTTGAATGAATTTGTTACAAGAAAATTTGTATCAATCATTTAGATTTGAGGACAATATGGTCGTCAAAATCAGCTTAGTGAATGGTGGGAGTTATTGATGGCCGAAATAAATAATGTAACAAAACAGATGCTACCAATCTATGATAGTCGAGTAGAGGGTATTAATATCCTGTTATGGGCGGGAGTCCCTGGCTATTCAAAGATTTAACGAAACATGAAAAAAAGGGTTGTTTACAAGATGTCGAGTAACTGTTTACAATGATCTCTGTCTGCTATGAATTATGTTATCATCAATAACTAGTGAAACGATATGCTGGTGTTGGTGGTATTGTATTGATGTATAACGTTTTTACATGTTTAAACAATACTTACCACTAAAGAAACCATTTTTTCTTCCAGAATATATTTGCTTGATAAAAATAAAACTTCACTTATAAGATCACCACATGTCGACAAATAAATTGAAATTACATGTTTTTGGTTTTAATTTTATAATGTTTTTGAAAATTTTAACAAATTCCTTTGGAATCACTAATGCACCAATTGATATGTAGAACAGCCAAATGTTTTAAAGGCTTGTAAAATCATTGATCCGTAGATAATTAAAAATAGAGTGTTAAACTGGGATAATGGGATATTTTTGTCCAACAAAAACCTTTCTGATTTCATGTCAGAAGAAGCAATTTTTATGGACAAAGGGAGGTAACTGTCATTTCCTTTTATCATTTGGTGAATTTTATAAGTGTTACTCTACAAATGATTTCCCACAGACTTCTATGTTAGGGAAAAGCTAAATATTGACATTTCCTTCGATGGGTTATCTACTGCATACTTAATTCATAAGCTTTCTCTGTACAGTGTAATATGTTACTGTACTCTGTAAATGTTAACAAATCTTTCTGTTAGGGTAGATAACAGCTGGGGTTAACTCTGCAGTGAATAAACATCTAACAATCACGATAATTCTGAAACGAAAAGTAGCAAACCAGAAAAGAAACATGAAACTGTTTTAGTAGATCAGTTGTTATGATTTTACATATTTCCATACAATTGTCTAAATTCTAGATGATCTGAAACCTTGATTCAGCCATTTCCATTATTTTACAACTTAGCCATTTTCCGCATTCACTTTATAAACTTGTTCTTTAATTTCTTGGTAGGATACCTTTTTGGGGACACAAAAATGCTCAATTTTAAATTGATAGTGACCAATGGTTTTAATACTACAACTGCATATCAAAGTATGTGTGGCTTCAATCTACACTTGTCATGATAGAATTGTTTTTCTATTTTCCTTGATTTTAATTGTGTGAATCATTGAAGATTGATTCATTTCAGTGAATTTTTTGCTGTTTGTGTATTTACAGAGGAGTACAACTTGAAGATTGTAGACATCCAACTTGAGGACGACGGCGAGTATCGCTGTCAGGTCACCGCTACTGAGCAGACACACGGCATCATCACCAACAAGATCACCCTCAATGTACAATGTAGGTAACCTTGGCTACGACCAATCAGAATTACTGTGGCAATCATGTGTACTCATTTCAAACTGTTCAATGCAATTTTTCAAATAACTATAATTGTTCAATATTTGTTATGAACGTACAGTAAGTCAGAACGGTTTCTTCATGCAATGTTTCTGAATTGTTGTGATATAAAATTTTAGCCGAATCCCATTACAAACTCCCAGCATGCAGTATTTTGTTGGTAACCAATCAGAACTCCTCTAACGAATTTTTGTTGACAGTGCCACCCGACCCACCACAGATGGGAGATGTGTCGACCATCGCTGTGATTCAGGGCTCACCGACAAACGTATCGTGTCAGGCAAACAACGGGAAACCGGGGGCGGAAATCACGTGGTACCAAGAGGGTGTACGAATAACACATAATGTGTTCTCACGCACGATGACAAGGACAGACAAGCGTGCGGACACGCTCAGTGTTGTAACCATAGTGGCCTCTAAAGAGGATGCTGGAAAAAAGATTGAATGTCGGGCAAACAACCCAGCACTCCGAGTGCCGTATAAAACTCACGCCATTCTGGACGTGCAATGTAAGTATCTGAGAAAGGATTCAGGCTTAGATAATGAAAGTTGTTTCAGATGTTTACATTTACTGTTAACCCCTAGGTAACTTAAGTAGACTCTACCATACATTGATCTGGACGAGTCCATTATGTACACTTGATTATATATAGGCGTCTTTAAACTTCAGTAAGAGTTATTTCCCTTTTACCTTTATTTATAAACAAACTTCCCAGATCATAAAAAATTGCAGTTAACATTTAACTCATTCAACCCTGAAATTTCATAATGAACTGTTTCAGCCTTTGAATTGGAAAAGTTCAAATGTATCTTCAGGGGTGAATGAGTTAACAAGAAAAGTAAAATACAAAGAGATATACAAATATCAGCACTTCAGCACTTGAATTATGTAATGTTGCTGCTTTTTTGCATATCAACCCTCAACATTTTGTCAATTTCTTAACTGGGCCTTAAGTTCAATTGTTTTATATAAAACTATATTTCGAAATAAAACAGAAAAAAAATAATTCACACCTTCAAACATAATTCAATAAGAATCCATTAATTTTTCAATGCTAGGCCTGATATGTTTTACATTTAGTATGTTTTGATTGGTTGACAGATCCCCCGAGCCTCACTATGGCACACAACATCAGTCGACAGATTCGGGAGTATGACTATGTACGATTTACCTGTACAGGGACCGCTAACCCTTACAACATACAGTGGAAGTAAGATCTACCTTACCATTAGTGTGCACTTATATGTCTACTTCTGTGTTAGATTTACCTGTACAGGGACCGCTAACCCTTACAACATACAGTGGAAGTAAGATCGACCTTACCATTAGTGTACCCTTATATGTTAGCTATCACTTTAGAGGAAATATGTAGGTCATGTAATTTCATTTGTAAAATCAGGGCTCATTATGATATTTATGAAACTGTTCTTATGCTCAAAATTTATTTTGTCAATGATTTGGAAACAATTTGAAGAGACTTGAAATCGAATACTGTTTTCAATGTTTACATTTGACTTTTTTTGATCATTTGACATGATTTAAGTAAGTCACCAGAGAGCTGGTTTGAGTACAGAATCCAGGCTTGAGCGTGAGAACAGTTTCATGACTATAGACCCAGGTCCCAATACGTAGAACTAATGTCCTGGGGGTCGTGGCTCCTAAGTGGGTTGTAGTAGGGATCTACGATGGATACTTACCTGTATTCACTAGCACTGAATCAGGGTCAACACAGATAATAGTACAGATGGAGGAACAACATCGTGGTTACAGAGTTTGTTTTTGGTTTTTATGTTTCAGCTGGCTAGTTTCATTTGTGATGGAGTTTTTTAGGATGGCAGCACTTATATGTGATTAGCCAGTTAGCTTGACTTTAATTTTACAAATGATGTTAAAATTTGTGTAAAAAAATTGTATTGAAACACAAGTTTCCTTGGCAATGCTGTCTAAACTAAGGTAGGAAACCTTGTCAGTTGAAATAACAACAGGATGATGTTGTGAAATGTCAGGATACTGCTAAACCTATACTGCACTGCCTCGGAGACTGATGTAGTTTTGTTTTCCTACAGATGGTACCATGACGGAGTTGGGATCTCCGGAAGCAATCAGAATTATCTGGATATCCCATCAATCAAGCGTGACTACCATCAGTCGCGAATCACATGCGAGGGCTCGAATGCTGTGGGCAGTACCCGTGCTTACGAAACACTACAAATACAGTGTAAGTGAAACTGTTTTGTATGCCAACAAAATGCTAAAAAGAAACTTAACAGAAAGACAGCAGTATTATTCGGGAAATGAACATTTTTTATAACTCTTTTTTAATTCCCATAAAAAATGTAGCTGGGCTGGGGGTAAAACATATTGCTTAAATAAGACATTTATTGTCATTGAAAAACGAAAATAAATAAATAATTTTGATTTTGTGAAAGAGTCAAAGTAGTTGATTTATCTTAAAATTTGTATTCACTTCACATATCACAATTTTATTCTTCAATAAAAAAAAAGAGAGAAAAAAATATCTGAAAAATACCAATAGGACAACTTGCTATTTCTACAGACGGTCCTCGTTTCATCGGAGCCCCACAGCATGTAGCAGTAGACTTAGGCGACTCTGCGACTTTGGTGTGTAATGCCGAGGGAAACCCAGAGCCCAACATCCTGTGGACCAAACAGGACTACTACAACCCCGTCAGTACCTCCCCTACCTTCAATATCCCCGAGGTCGAGGCCCAAGATCTCGGCACCTACATCTGTACAGCAACGTCCTTAGTAGCCGGGTTTCACGAGGTCAGCCGGGAAATTTTACTTCTGCAGAAAGGTGAGTTAGGTCAAGGTCAGGGATTTACACATACTGGTACCAAAGAAATGGTTACATATAGATCAAGGTCAAGGATACAGCTTGTACCAAAATCGAGGTCAAATTTAGTCCAAGGTCAAAGATCCACTTGACCAAGGTTAACGAGACATTTATACCAAGGTCAATAAATAGTACACAGATGACCACTGCTATCTGGCTAAGTTCAGAGTAATGAATGGGAGGACTGTATAGATTTTTATTTCAGTCAACATTTTACATACTTACATAATACTGTCTATAAGCATTCTTCTCTATTTAATATACTGTTAAGGTCAGGAGTACTCGACAAAATGTCCAGTTTTGTCACAAACTGAATCAATATGCAGATTACCTTAAACAAGTAAAACTATTGTAAGGTGTATGAAAAGGATTTTATTTCCGATACATTTCAAACATATTGACAAAACGCTGATCTTTTGTAGGACCTCCAAAAATCCTTAGCAACAAGAACCAGTATGCAGCCACTGGAGCGAGTGCCAAACTGGAATGTCTGGTTCGCTCTGTCCCGACTCCTACCAAAATAAAATGGGAGAGAAACAATGTTGAGATCGACTACGCCAGCTCGGGACGATACTCAGAACTCGAGGAACCATTGGCTGATGGAGTAAAACACATGTTACAGATCATACAGGTCCAGGAGAGTGACTTCGGCCAGTATAACTGTAGTGTGGAGAACGCCCGCGGGGCTGACCTCATTACCATTACACTCCTGGAGAAAGGTAACCATTGACGACAAAGTATACCAGTAGATCCCATTGTATAAGTTCCCATATTAACCAAACCTCTGTAGTCTGGAAACCTGTATAAACCAAACCCCTGAAGTCTGGAAACCTGTATAAACCAAACCTCTGTAGTCTGGAAACCTGTATAAACCAAACCTCTGTAGTCTGGAAACCTGTATAAACCAAATCTCTGTAGTCTGGAAACCTGTATAAACCAAAACCTCAAACTAGGTCCCACTGTATGTCTATTTAAACTGAACCTGTATAATCTGGATACCTTTATAAACCAGATCTCCTTCTAGGTCCCTCTGTATACTATTTTATGAAAACTGAACCTGTATAGTCTGGATATCTGCATAAACCTGATTTTTATCTAATTTGTATATAAGCTCCGATGTAACCAGGCATAATAAATGGGTATATCACATGTTACCTCTCACGTGTAATGATAGGTTTACATATAGCACGGGCTTCTGTCTATGTCACCCCTCACGTGTCAGTCTACCCAACCCTCACTCAGACCACATCCCTGAATGTGAGCAGTCTTGTTCACTCTCTATAGAAGGCATCCCTACCTGTGTCCCTGGTAACCTGTCATTCATCAAATAAGGGAATATTTGTTTCATAAGATAGTATATAGACTGTAATAGTGTAATGCATAAAAATAGTCTATGGGAGTCCGGAGTAAGAGTATAGCACATGACATTGTTAATTGAATAGTCCATTTGATACATGTTTCAGGTTTATTTCGGCTAATAAAACTCCCCATCAACCAACACCACAGTATTGGTATACTTTATATCAATATAAAAACAATTGAAAATTCTACACCTTTGTTAACTGAGCCTGTGTATTATGAAATCCTGTATAAACTAGACCTTCAACTATGTCTCATTGCAAACAATCTATAAACCTGTTGGTTGGGAACAAGCTTGCTGGTCCCAGCATACATGTATTGATGGATTGGTTTCAATGTAAATGATTGTTAAGTAGAAGAGTTTAAAGATTGTAGTATACCCAACAAGTAGTGAGTATAAAGAGTTGTTTCCCTTGATTTTCAGATATCCTGCCACTGTCTTACATCATAGGGGGCGTTGTCGGAGGCGTGGCTCTGATCTTCCTCATCGTCATCGTTTTTGTCATTTACCACAGATACAAGGCTTCAGACTCTGGTAACCTTGCAAACCTTTTATCAAGTTTTCCATTTTGTTTTGTATGTGAATTGTGTTGGCTCTTTAGTTACGTTTGCATCTGCAGTTGATTTAATTTTAAGTTTACAAAGACAACTCAAATAAGTGGAATATTTCACTCAATATTTTACAGTATAATTTAAATTTAAAACAAAAATTAAAACCTGAGAATTAATAAGAAACAATGTGATATGCAGTTGCAATGATGTTTGGTGTTAGAGAAAATTTTAAAATTTTCATGTGCAACTTTTATATTTGTAGTTTGTAAAATAGAGAACACTAGTGTTTTGTGTGTGTTACGCTGAAGTAGTAGAATACTCTAGCAGCTGTGTCCCTTTTTGAGAACATTCTAGATTAAAGTTGAATTATTTGTGGGTGTACAATGACAGTAGCTTCTCTTGGATGCAGATAGCTTTGTTATTAAGTCAGTGTTACGGAATCAGAACACTGTCTTAGCGCAGTAAACACCACATATTCCACATAGCATGGAATCCTTAGCGCAGTAAACACCACATATTCCGCATAGCATGGAATCCTTAGCGCAGTAAACCCCACATATTCCACATAGCATGGAATCCTTAGCGCAGTAAACACTACATATTCCACATAGCATGGAATCTTAGTGCAGTAAACACCACATATTCCACACAGCATGGAATCCTTAGCGCAGTAAACACCGCATATTCCACATAGCATGGAATCCTTAGCGCAGTAAGCACCACATATTCCACATAGCATGGAATCTAAGTGCAGTAAACACCACATATTCCACATAGAATGGAATCCTTAGCGCAGTAAACACCACATATTCCACATAGCATGGAATACTTAGTGCAGTAAACACCACATATTCCACACAGCATGGAATCCTTAGCGCAGTAAACACCGCATATTCCACATAGCATGGAATCCTTAGCGCAGTAAACCCCACATATTCCACATAGCATGGAATCCTTAGCGCAGTAAACACCACATATTCCACATAGCATGGAATCTTAGTGCAGTAAACACCACATATTCCACATAGCATGGAATCTTAGTGCAGCAAACACCACATATTCCACATAGCATGCACAAATATTTCATAAAACATCAAATCATTATCCTTAGTTAGCACATTTTTAACCATCTTGGTGATATTCATATCTTTTTTTTTTATTTCAATATTGATTTTCTCACTTACTCATATGTCATCAATGAGGTGGAGTTCACATTAAAATTGAATATCAAGTTGTCAAAAATTTGATTCTCATAGAAAAGTTGCAAGCTTGTCCATGAAAAATACTATAGGTTGCTGAAATTTTGTAATTTGTGGCATAGGGATTTTAAATTCCACTCAGAAATGAAAGACTGCTGATTTATTTAAAGTTTTTTATTAATCCTAACAACTTTCATTTGATTGTAATCTAAAAATAACTTTTCAAAAAGACAGAAAATATTCAAGTGTAGTAATCTTTGCCCCTAAATACCAAAATAAAACACAATATCATTTTGGTCATAGGTTTTCATTCTGCGACCTTTTAGCAAGGCATGTATATGTTAAATCTTCACAATTTTTTTCAAAGAACCATAAATAAAAGTAATTATAAAAAAATAACCATTTTTCAGAAGATCAATAAAAACGGGGATCTGATGTCTGAAATGGTTAATAGGGAATGATACAAAAGATGGAGTGAACACCACGTAGATTAAATTATAAAATATCAAGAGCAGAAAACATCAACATACAAAAATACCACACATAGTCTGTACACTTTTATTGCAGAGCTTTTGTTTGTTTTGTAAGCACCGTTTCTATTTCAGACTCCTACGCTGAAACTGACAGTAACACTGAGATTAAAAAACGCGAGAAAACAGAATCACCGTCCGATTTTACAAAATCCACTCTGATGGACCAGTGGAGACAGGATTTAAATTTCCATTGCCCCACAGATTATGAAGATCTGTACGGACAAAAGGTGAGCAGTCCAATGGCTTCGTATACGATAAATTTAGGGAGGTTATACCTAAAATATTATGTAAACAAGGGTTATGTCCCCTATCATGAGAATGAACTATATTTAGAGTAAATCTCCCATTCCCATAATGAAGAGTAAATGTTTTTTTAAATAGCATCTGCTGATTGTCATGAATCAAAACAAATGGATTTATGCAGTCTATGAAGAACTAGAGGCATAAAAACTAGTATCTTTATGTAAAATTGAAATAGATTGAGTTGTCTCCCTTCCTCTAGTGATAACTCTAACAGTATATTAGTTTCTTGCTTCATGCTCATACAAGGTTTCTAAATTGTAGTCTAAATGAATATATTCTGTAGTTGAAGATTTGTTTACGTTATGTAGGAATCACAGATTTAATCAAATAGGATTCTTAGCACCTTTATACTGTATTATGATAGAATTTCTGAGGTCAATAAGAGAATGCTTTCTACAACTTTTTAGCATTAACATCTCCTTTGCTAGAGTTATTTCCCCTGGCTTCAATAATGTTCATGATTTCAAGACAAGATACTCTGGTTTCATTTCTACAAAGTTTTTTTTTCCTTATAAATCAAATAGATATGTAAAGCTAAAACAAATTTGTATATCAAATATCCACATATGGTCAAGTTCGACTTGATCAACTATTTACTGATGGAGTTATCTCCCCTTTCACAAGGGTAAACAGCAGTGTACTGTGAGTACGGTCGAGAGCACGGACACCAACTGTAATGTAAGTGACTGTTGGGGTTCTGGTCTGTACTATATATAACACTTTTCTCTACAGCTTCTACTGACTGGTCTACCCAATGTTAATCAAATAAAATCATATCTCATTAATTCATTTACCCCTGAAATTTCATAATAAACTATTCCAACCTTTGAATTGGAAGAGTTCAAATGTGTGTTCAGGGGTGAATGAGTTAAGGATTTAATACTTAACCAATAATAAAGGTAGTTTTCCATTGATTTTCAGCATTATGATACTTTTTAAAAGATATCAATCATAATTTTTAATATATGATGTTCTGAAATTTCCATAAATACTTTCAGAGAAGTGTAAATTTAAAACTGTCAGAATGAAAAAGAGACATCTTAAAGCCTACCTTATTTATGTCAGTGTCTATCATCTGTCATACTATTTCACTGTTTCATTTAACTAACTTATGGTTGTCTGTTTTGACGATAAACATTGATGTGGAAGTAAACTCCTTTATTGGAACATAAGCCTCGCTATATCTATAATCCTTTTATATGCTAAATTATCATCAAATCATGTGTAATGAAAGACTATGAATAATTTAAAATAAAATAGATATTCAATGTAAAATATTGATATTGATAGAAATTTGAGCTCTTTAAAAAGAAAGTAAAATATTGATATGCTTTGTCTATCAATGCTTATAGTGAAATATGAAAACATTAACCCTTTCACCCCTATGTAACTTTAGTAAACTCTACCATGCATTGATCAGGATAAGTCCATTATGGTCCACAGTGGTGAAAGCGTTAACATGGACATATGTTCATGACATCATTCAATTGTGACATAGGACATAGCTAACCAATACTGTTCATCATTTCGTTTATTAAGTAGGTCAAAATATATCGTATAAATAAGTAGAATATATGTATTAAATAATCACTTTGAAAAATATACATATACGTTTAAATGGCATGGTCTTCAGTGGATAGTGACATAATTGTGATCAGGTTTGCAAACAAATCATGCAGTATTGACCTTAATTTTGATGGCATATACGATGGTATGAATACAGTTGGCAACGGACACGTTCTCTGGTGCCCATTACATACTCATAATAATTGCAATGCTGTACTGTATAGAATAATAAAACTATAATTGAGAACAGAATGCAGTTTAAAGCTTATCTAAATATCTGATTCTATTATCAAAGTACTAAGTAATGTACCAAATATAATTTTCCAGTCCTAAGATCTTTGTGTCAAATTAAAGTAAGAAATATTGATAGAAAGAAGTAGCCTTCTGGGTAGACCGCCATTTTTGCAGAAAACATTCTTTGTACAATATATATATATATGTATACAACACACATTCTTATTATATACTGTTGGTTGAATTCTTCTGGTTGCCTCTCCTGAATCTTCACTTTCATTTTCTGCTGATACTTTCCCCCCTTAATGGCTTAATAGACTTAACCTAGCTCAAAGGATTGTACATTGCTGAGGACAGTCTATTGTTATATTGAGGGAAGAAAAGGTGTGAAAACAAATCCTTTCTAATTCAATGCTTTTACAACATTATGCTTTGATCCTGTTTGGAAATGTTTTATTTCATTCCTTTGTCTGACCGTTTTCCAACTTCCTCAAACATCTGTCATCTCTCATTCGCTAGTCAATACATATAAGATAAGATTACATATTTTAGCAAATATATTGTGATAAATAAAGCACACATTTGAACAAACTTGGTAGCCCTTCATTCCAGCATGTAATTGGCCATATATCAACATATGTTCACCCCCAAACTTTATATACTCTATGATATGACACTGATGGTCAGGAAAAGGAAACATCAAACAACAAGATAAAGTATTTAATCAAGCGATGACATCCACCAAATTCTTACTGGTACTGTCACAAACTCTTAGCCTCTTTCTATACGGTCTTTGTCCTGAAGTTTACTTCTTGATATACTTTTGACAAATATAACAAGAAATAATTACAAAAACGTACTAGTTTTACAATTAGTCAGGCTAGGGTGTTCCCATGTTGTATCAATCCAATGAATGTCTACAACCATAGATTTCATTCAACTGTTTCAAGAGTTCAAATCAGTGTATGTTCATTGTCTGTTGGGTTGTGCAAGAAGAAAAGACTGTCAATACTGTTAAAAGCTTTATGTTTTAGCTTTCTGGTAATGGTGTATTGCATTGATAGTCATTGCTGATAGTGGTGGGAAAGTTCAGTAGCCAGACATTTATAGTGGTTGGAAAGTTCAGTAGTCAGAGCTTTATAGTGGTGGACAATGCTTGTCATCGCTTCATAATTATGGTGGAAGTCTGCAAATGCCTCTAGTCTGTAGATGATAATCCTGCTCGTTGGAAAGTCATGAATGTTACTCGTTCCTTGTTTGACATGTGTTGTCAATCACTAATATATATAAACTGACCTTCATAGTCACATACATGTTCATGCTTGTTAATTATCCATACCAAATAAAAAAAAAAAAATTGATGATAGCTTTTCTTTGAGTTTCATAGAAGATTCTTTGTACATACATTTAACTCTGAAGAAATAAATGTATGTTTTCGTTTGCTGTTGACTATCTGTGAACCCTTTGATACCTTTTTGAATCCATTTGTTCCATTCTGGTTTACACTACCACCTTACATTCATATCCTTCTGTCTCCCCAACATCATCACTTGGAAGTTAAAAGAATATTCCCCTTTCTTTATCCCTTTCCCTGGCCGCTATGGTCCTTACATTTTACTAGACATGTCACCTATTGTATACGTTATTGTTACACACGAATCTTAGTAAATGTCATCCATACCAACCCAGTTCATTACCTTTATGATCCACCATGTTTACCATTTTGAAAACGGCATTCATACCTCTGTGTCATAATAAACATGAAACATCTGCCCATTTTCCTTTCCTGATCGACTGGTAGTGACTGGTGTTTGAGTTATCTGCCCTTTGATTTATCCATGGTGTGTATGTCTATTTTATCTTTGCAGCTAAGTCATTATGAAATGCTGCCTTTGACATTAGATATTATTGTCTTTTCCCCCTATAAATCAGTATTGAGATTGTTTTTGCTTTCACCCGATGGACCTTTTGACCTTCGACATGTTGACCTTTGTTTGTCTCATTGACCTTCGTGTGTATATTTGTTTTGTTAATTAAGGTATGAATGAAACTGTGTGTCATAAACATAAATAATGGTGTGTTTCGTGTGTCGTATAAAGTAAAGTCGCCTTTACTATTTCCTCAATCATTGCCTCCTTCGCCCAGGCCACATACAACAGAGACCAGCAGCTCTGTATGGCCCCTTCAATCAGGACCTTACCAGCTCAATCGACCAATCAAAACATTTATCACGTCATTCCACCATATGGTCAGCGATCTATGACCCCATGTGGCCTTGGGAATAGATCCATGACCCCATGCGGTATTGGGCAGCGATCCATGACACCGTGTGGCCTCGGCCAGCGATCCATGACGCCATGTGAACAGAACCAAAGACCAATGTCACCTTATGAGCAAGGACAGCGAACTCTGGCCTCATGTGGAGGTCGACGAACACTACCAAGAGGCCATCTGGCGGCTAGTCGAGATGTGTTACAATGTGCGACGTCCACCCTACCACATAGGCCCTGTTGGCACCACTGTGCTCAGTCATACATACAGGTTTGTGGTCTGGAGCGTGTTTCACCTTCCTGTTGTGGTGCCTTGGTTTTATTGTCCATGTTTTTGAACAACGTCTGGTCCTGGCTGTACCTACGAGCTTCTATAAGGTTCCTTAGTATGATTTGTGTACTGATGCAACGATATTTGTGTGCGTCTGCAGCTGAATATTTGAGTTTGTTTGGGATAATTTGTGAATAGGAAAATTCATGAAGAAGTGTCCCCGAAGTGGGCTGCTATCAAAGAGAATGAGCATCCTGGTTAGCTGCATCGCTGAAGGAGTTCCCATGGTCAGGCCATTTGATAATTTGTTTTCTGCATACGGATCTGCTTGGAGTTTTTCTGCTAAATTCATGTCTTTGGACAAAATTTGGTGTTCTTGTGTTAGCATTTTGTTTTTATCCTTGTACAATGTGTATTGCCATGAAAACAAAAAGATTTCTCCCCTTGCTGGGCAGTGCTAGCTGCCTCTTGTGATCAACACGTAATACATTTTTTTAACAAATGCCATGCAATTTAATCTAGTAACACATAACAATGGCTGGCTAGCATACTGACACTTTTTATCTGTGGCTGATAAAATATTTTTCATCAACATTTTTTCCCATGAAAAAAGTTTTTTTTAATGCTACATGATATTTCGGCAATATAACAGGTGTAAAAGGTGAGTCGGATTTTGTGTTGTGTGGTACTGAATGCGGAGCAAACCAGAGTGTGACATTTTCGTTGGTGCCATTTGTTTTCACGGAAACAGAAACAATCTTAAAAGGTTCTTGCTGAAGTATGAGCTCTATGTTTAGAAAACCAGTTATATTGATATACATGTAGATAAAGATATAGAAGGTAGTAAGGAAATCGTGCCAGGAATATAACTTAGTTTGTTTTAATGGAATTTAGCCTCTTCAATTTGCTTCAGCCAGGGTCATATTAATACAGGTATCTTGACAAACACACCATAAAGAAGAGTTGGGAAACCAGAAAAGAAGTTATAAATCATAAGTGTTGCAATGGGGGCAGGCAGCAGATGAATATTGCTTTCCCCAATGTCCCCGCAGCCCGGCAAAGAGACACAGAAGTGACATCCCCGATTCTACAGGGACCCCACGTTACAATAACGTGCTGTGGCCTGTAGAGGTGATACGATATAGAATGGCATTGGTACAGTGTGATGACGTGACAGGCTGGTGTGTAATGCATTGTTTTGTTTGTGATAATGACAATAACTTACAGGGAAGTATTACGTAACGTATGTTTCTTATTTTGTGACTTTGCTGTGCTGTGGAATGTGAGGATATGCCAGTCCACATTTGTCTCGTGCTGACCGTGAAATGTTGAGTGAAGTGGTCCTATCTGTCGACAATATTTTGAAATGAAAGATAATGGTAATGGTTTTGTGTGATGTGAAGTGACGGATTGTCTGGAATTACATAGGAATTGTAAAATACTAAAGTAGAAACTACTGATTCCTATGGCTAGTTTTGAAAGACAAAGTTTGATGCGTTGTGGACTGGAGTGAACCTATGGACTGTATAAAGACAGTATAACGTACATATCATTTGATAGCAATGTCGGTTCTGTCTGACAGAATATTTTCAATGATAAAAAATGCCATCGACGCACAATCACATAAGATGATCACTGAAAGTCGTTCATGACATTTTTAATACGATGACAAAGCGTCCTTCGGAGTTTGTTAGACTTCAATTGCATATTAATCGTATACAGAGTTCAACAATGAGCAAACATCTTTCTCGTAGGACAGACGTAATTAGGTAACTGAAACGACTTCCTCCAGAGTTAGATGCCCGTATTGTTAGAAATTCATGATCTTGAAAAATTAGATTTTCTGTGCAACGATCAGAACAGTTCACCCTTTCATTGTTATTCTCATCATATATCTGTATTTAATAAGTTATTGTTCAAACTTTGTCTCTGTTATTTGAAAAGTTATTTTACACTTATTCATCCTCTATATTTATTAAAGTTCTTGACTGCTGATAGTGTTTTGATATCAGTTCTCCTTTGTGGCCGTTATGGCTGATTGAAAATCGTATCGAAACCATTCTCTTCAAGATTTCTAGGTTTGACAATATTTGCACAAAAAGCCATGACCTTTTTTTGTTAATGCCAATGTCTTCATTTAGGTTCTTTCACATCATTGAACTGCTGTTTATAGTAAAACAAGCTCATTTCACATTCTTGATCGTTATGAAAATATAGTTTTGTCACCAGGCTAGTAATTGCCTAATAAATAATAACTTTAGAGGTTGCCAATGAATACAGCGAACTATTGAGAATTTATTCTAATTTGTCATATCATGTATTACAGATCTTCATGTCAATAAGTCATGCTATTAATTATATATGATCAAATCATTTAATATATTTCATTAAGTCATTGACTACACATTATTTTATTTTCAATTCATTGGATGTATGGGCTGTTTGTTTAAAATTTATTTCATCTTTTTATTTTGCACTCATCACCACGTTCAGCGTCATTCATTCAGCTTTCCACAATGTTCACCCTTTGTTGTTTAAGCTTGATAAAGCATGATTACGTAAATAATGTGGGGAATTGTTTTTTTATCATTTTTAAAGACCAAAACAAAATTGCTGTAAGTTTACGTCACATAATCTCGCATGAGACTTCAAGAATAATGAAGAATATAAAATTAAATCAATATTTTAGGAATATCTATGTTTCTATGACTTGTTCATTACATTAATCAATTCCGTTTTTATTTGGGAATAACTTGACGAAGGAACCAGTTTGTTTTGTAACATGTTAAAAAATGTAAATAAGTAATTCATTCTAATTTTGATTTCTATTTGTTGGTCACAATCCTTTAATGTAACAATTTAAGCAGTTTCAACCTGAAACATTATATTTAAGTTCAACTCACATAATATAAATCCATGATTACTTAAATGAATAAGATTAACTTTTACGTTAATAAGTTAGCTCTACAAAATAAATTGACACCCGAATAGAATTATAAATCATCATTTCATGTACAATTGTAAAGCTAGGAATTTGATGTGCATGAATTATACTTTAGACCAAAGACAGTCCAAGCAATGTTAATGTTGCTTAAAGAGTACACCTGGCTTTATATATGCTTTTGATGGGAACATTTGTCGTGTACAATATGGCTGTGTTAATGGTATTTTTGTCAGTTTTTTGGTGAATCTAACGTTTACAAGTCATTTCACGTTCAAAAAATAATTTTTACGTCATTAATATTGCAATAAGTTAGTGTTTTCCTTTTTTCCCTTTTGCTTAAAAATCAAACCCACGAATTATTGCAAATTTCTTTGTGGAATATTAATATAAGAAATCCGTGTGTTCTCTTATTTTGTTGTTGTTGTAATCAGTTCGTGTAGATTAATGTAACAAAGTTTCACCAGAGAGCTATAAATGTAAATTTGCACCGAGACAAAATCGTTTGTCCCAAAGTTTTGCACTGTGTTTTGTTTTTTCACACAGGAACATAAGTTAAACAGTAGCGGCTACGGAACGCTGACGTCTGATAATTACATTAATGCTTACGATCATCACAATGGTGGGCCACTATTTAGTGATTATGCTCACCGAACGGATGAGGCTCCGCCAGCAGAAAGGTAAGGAGGTGGGAATCGCAACATGCCATTGTAGGACTGGGCTGGTTGTGCAGATTTGGCCAATGACAAAAATAAATTAAAGAATATTTGTATTTAGTTGAAGTTCAAAAGGTCTAGTCCCAGTTTCACGACTGTTACATAATGGATGTTTTTTCGAATGGAAAGTATTGCTGAAGTTCAAGGGGAAGGTATTAGATAATGGAAATCGTTCCTTAAATCCAGCAATCCTTTCAATGAAAAAAATGTGAATTCAAGAATTTGCTTCACTTAAGAAACATGTGTGAACCTGGACAAACATTTTAGTTAGAATCCTTCATAATATCGGTCATTTTGTAAATGAAATTTGTCAAGTTGTTCGAATAGCTTAACAGTTTATCATTTACTACGTTAGCCACACAAAAAGTGATTAAGAACTTTGTATGTTAATAACTGAAGGAAGACTTACCTTTATAATGATTTCTTATAAGCACGTTAAGTAGTTAAATGTGATTGCACACTTCTGACAGAGCACGTATATCTGTTGTCGCCGGCTTTATGGTCAAAGAAAAGAAAACAACACCATGATTTTCTAAACAAAAGTTTACTGCGCTATATGTGTATATTTACGCTTATGACACTGCACTTTTATATATGTGTATTTTTGTGATATTATACACTTTATTACATCGTATACGTGTCACACTTTTACAAGTGTTATGATAGAGTTTGTATGGATATAAATTGAATAAATGAAACTGAAAAAGAATATATCAAGAAATATTTCTGGATTAAATTTTTCCACTGTTTTATTTACATTTGCTTTGTCCAACAAATTGCTCTGTCTTGATATGTTTTATATCTAAGTTAGACTTGTCAGTTTGACCCTTTTATGTTTGTAAGTTATTACATTTCCCTTGAACCTCTTGTCTGTTTCGTTGAGCCTTGTTCTTGTCTCCTCGTCAGATATGAGTATGGGTACAATACCATATCGTACTCGCCTCATTTGTCACGGTCCAGGTAAGCGTGTGGCCCTAATCGGGCATTCCGTGCTGCTTAGCCCTGATAAGGCATAGTATGCCTGCCTCATAAGCAAAGACGGTTATCCGACCCCAAATTGGCAGCTTGTGTTTACCACAGTTTCTTAGTATAGAAAGTTTGACATGCTATGCTGATGTAGTATTGAAGCGATTCAAAACATGATTAGACTGCTTTGTAATCTAAGAACTAAAAACAAAAGTTATACTAGATAATAGCAAATTCTTATTCATGCATGTATATCACAACCTTATCCCGAGAAAAGATTTTAATTGTTTTTGATTGCCCATAATACGTTTCCAAACAACCGAATTATATACTGAAAAAAAAGAAACAAAAATGTATTAGAAACATTTCCAATTGAATTTATTTTGGATTGTTTCCCCATTTACAAATTCCTCCTGTCATTCATTGCCATTTCCTTGTCTTTTGTTTTGATTGGTTTGTTGTTTTTAGTTGTCTTTCCATTTTTGAATAATTTTTATTTCATTTTAATGTTTTGAGATTTGATTACAAATGTTAACAGATTTTAACACCCATGGTGTTACGGTGTACGAAGCCTTTATTTCTTCTTTGAAAAAGGTCCCCATTGAATAGCTTTTTGATGGGTTAGGAAGGTGATAGTGATGTAGTGACGCATTGATTCTATAAATAGTCGTATGTGCTTCGATTTGGTTTCACTTCCTGAAAAAATGTTTGCATTATTCATTATTTGTGTCCTTTTTTCTCATTTTGTTGTTTTGCACTCTTCTTTTTAACCTCATTTGATTAATGTACCATTTTCTATTTTTTTAAGAACAATTTTCTAAGTATGATGAATACTTTACAATTAACGACGTATTTGCTTTTGTGCCAGTGTTATTTTCGTAGTACATACAACTCAACCCGACAGGGACCTTCTTTTGTTAATTACTACTTCATATCCATTAATAAAAAAAAAAAGGCGGAGGATATTTCAAGAAATATACTGATATATACTCAAGAACATTTATTTCACGTAAAAAACGAAAATAACGCTGTGCGAAAAACAAAATGTATTTGGATATTTAATGACAGGGTTTCGTTGGAACAAATATTTTGAATAAAATTGTATGACATTGTGTTCTTTTTCTCTGCCTCAGGTTTGAAAACGGATACAATACATACGGAACAAGTTCATTTAGGAGTGCATCGCGGACAGACTTCACCAATCCGGATTACACAGATCCGTACTCCAACAGACTTCCGCCCGCTGATGTCAACACGGCCAAATTGGCCACCACGGTGTGATGTGACCAGGAACTTTGTCGACACCTTGGACTGACTTTTGACACGATCATGTGACTCGCTGTGAAAGACCGTCAGTGAGGTCGACTTGCTCGTATCAGACCAGGTGATGTGACCTGTGGGAACGTATTAGTGGGAAAGGTAGCAGTAGCAGACGTCAACATCAGCATTGCCGGACACAAGAATGTCGGTGTTAAGCATGTCAACAGTTATGTGCCTCTACCACTATACTAATATCTCCAATTGCGACTGGGATGGCCCTTCATAGCTTCCAATACATGGAGTGGTAGTAGTAAAGCGCCCTCTCAATATCTGGTCTGGTAGGGAAGTGTTAAAATGCAAACAAGTTAATTCTAACGCGTCATTACGGAAGAATGTGTCTGTTAGTCTCCTGGTCTACATCACCGAACTGAAAGTCTGAACTACTGATTGTTTACAAAGTGACATTCAGCATTTTATATCATAGTCTATGCACGCACTAGATGAACATTTCATTGCCATATCTTCATCTGTCATCTATGTACAGTACCGAATACCGTACCACGTGGTACACCTCCTTAGATGTTGTGACGTATGAGAGAAGGCTGGACCTATCATTAGTTTTGATCAGTTTGTGTTTCATCATTCTGAACATCGATTACAACACTGCTTGAAGATGTGAGTGGACAGGGAGGTGTGTTATTACTGGAATTGAATATTAACTTACGACGTGAATTTACTTTATGAATGGGGAGATAGCACTATGCCTGTCAAAGAGGTACAACTCCATAGAGACATATAACGGTAACAGTGGAGTTTACCAAACGGCAGAACGTAACTGGTTTAAAAGGACACCTACCCCATATGCCTGGTGATATCGACAAAGAAGTTAATGCACTTTTTGACTGTTTTGTATCCAAGAAAGATGAACTTTCTTTCTTTTTTGTTGCCAGGCCATATGAAAGTATAAAATTTACCAAGTATGCATACTTTTTGAAATTTCTATGAGGAGATTATATGTGCTCAGAATAAAAAGCATAAATAGAATATGTGTATGTATACCCCAGGAAAATCATTTTTAAATGGTATATTTGAGCTGTTCTATCAGATCTTAGGAATAGTTAAGCAAATTCACAGATTTAAAAAGTGCTCAAATATAGAGTCCGAAATCGGGAATGTCCCTCCAAAATAGAAGGAGTTGGCAAGTATGAGTACGATGTATGTATATACGAGCTAAGAAAGGAACTATTTCTGTCAAAAGGAGTAATTTGTTTAAAACAACCACCGAGTGACAAAACTGTGTCAATTAACAAGTCAGTCATTCGTTCCAGTCCTTACTGACATATTATCTTCCACATTCAGATGTGTGCCTTCGTAACGATATTGTAACATTTTCTAAATGTTGGAATAATAAGTTAGAGAGATATACCATAGCATCATTTACATAGCGTTTATACGGATCACCAGTCAGACAATCATACGTTTAAACCAGTCTTTTGTAGATGTTAAAGGTCAACTGGTGAAAAAACTTCGATATTTTATCTTCATCCATTGTGTTATGTACTCAGACAATCGTATATTTCGAATCATCCAGAATTTGTACTAATCTACCTACGTCGGGTGTGGCACAACTACGTATGGCTTTACTGACCTTTGTCACTGAACCGGGACCACAACACAGAGATCTCAACATAACTGCTCACTATCAGACTTACTTAGAATAGAGGTGTCACACGGATCATGGAAGGGGTCAACACACAAACATGTGGATGTCTGCTGAAGTAACAGATGGATTCCTGAAGGTCAATGCCGTTTCAAGACAGGAACAACTAACTAAAATCGGCTGTTCAATCTGTTTTGTGTAAGATAAAATAGTGAAGATATTTGTGAATATGTACCGAGGTATTTCTCCTTAGCTAAATGTAGAGTTATCTCCCCATTTGTTCAACTGACTATTATATAGATAAAGAAAAGTTTCTTTATAAAGTATATGTACATCTGTAGTTAGGACGAAACACTTTAATGCTGTGCATATTTATTGTGTCTGTGTCAATTAAATATCACAATCACGAATTTGTTTTACCGCATCGAAATGTTTCACGTGCAAGTTAAACATAGCGTATGATCCAAATAATTACATAGAGGACAGTTATGTTTAATATATATATAGACATTGCTTCAACGGTCGTCAGCATGTCTGATGGAGATGGAAGGAAACTAAAGTTAACACATTCTCGTGTCATACTTCGGACCTTTCCAAAAATAAATAATAAATGTTGCATTAGTAATTCACTTCATAATTTAAATAATATATCCATTGCTTCTGTCACTCATTTTTTCCGGCAATAACCTCATATTAAAACGGAAATGTTTTGGTAAAACTTGAAATTTGGAAAAGAGAAAACCAGATAAGATTACGTGAAGTGAGTATGACGCCGTCTGTAAGCGGTGGAATGTGTTGTGATAATGTGAATGTGTTGCTAGTATTGATTTTTTCATTTTTTTTTCATTGTAAATTTTTATCATAAAAAGCAGGGCTGAAGGCATGTGAATATATTTCCAATCTTGTTTTGTGGAAAATATGCATGCCCGAATTTGACCGTCCACTGTGTTCAAACTGCTTCTGTATGTAACATAGTTATATTTATTGCTGACTTTGTACTGTTATAACATCTTATCTAGAGTGATCTGCCCTTTGATCTCGTGTAAACATTTACGTCACAAATTCATGAGGAGCACCCTATTATGACTTAACATAAAATAGGTTTGAAATTTTAATTGAAATTTTCTAAATTAGATCTTGTAATTGACATTATATCACACTTTAATGACAATGCTAGAAATCTATAACCAATATATCCAAGACAAACTACCCATTTCAAATAGCCGTAGATAAATAATTCCCACAACGCCATGGACATCTCTAGCCGTTATAAATAATCCAAGTTATACTATCGGCAGTAGATGTATTATATACCTAGCAAAGTGTACTAAATCCCCGGTCAAAATGTACAAACATCACCACTCTGAGTCATGTAAGATATACAAATACACATTTAGTATTTCTGTTAACAGTTGTATAATAACACATATATAAATATCACCTTTACCGATCATCAGATAAATTGTCGACTTTTAATTGCATTTGTATTGCTAACAAAATACTGTTTACGAAGAAACAGGACGAAGGGGCATAAATTTATACTTATGTCCTAGAATTTCTGATAGAATGCAAAAAACCATTCCATGATAATTCTTTAGAATTTTAATATCAGCCGTTAAAGGTAAGGAATAGTAGATTTATATATCCCATCTTGGCTATTTAAAGTGTTGCTTATTTCATGTTTGATGTGGTTTGTTATGCATACAGTATCTGTTGAAACTAATGTGGGTACATAAAGTATGGCTATAATACGGAATAGATCAGAGATTAGTTGTTTAAATACCAGAACACATTCTAATTAAACAGTTGTTAAGTATGTCAATGAAAACAAAGTTAAATATTGCATGTGCAAATTTTAGATTTGAACGTAATAAAGGGAAGTAACTCCTGAATTTTGCAAAGGGAGATGGTCCTGATGCTGTTATTACTGTGTATGTGTGACCCTAGTCCCCCTGGTGTTCATTATTGACTATTTTGAGTTGCTTTTTATTTCAATTCTTGTTAAGATTACTATTCTGTTATCCATATATACATATAAATATATCATTTGCAATATTTGTTAAGATTTGTGTGTGCGTATTAATGTATTTAATTATTTTATTAAATCATCAACATTATTACATTCTATGAATCACGTGTAGTATAGCTGAATGTGTCAGGTGTTTGGCTGAATGTCACGTGTATGTCGGATATACGTCACATGGCTGAATACGTCACATCACAGCTGATATAGGTCACATTATTGATAAGTCACAATCACATATGATCAAAAGTATAATATTTTAATAGTTATATTCAGTAATTTCAAATGTTCTCTATTCACCAAATTTTTTAAACAACGTTTTTCTTATTTTGGGAAAGAAATATGTCCCAACAAAACAATTGTAAATTGATAGGACAGGTAAAAATACCAGCCTGGCCACCAGTCACACTCACAGGGGCATGGCACACATACCCAAACATCAAGGTCTTATATATATATATATAATGTGGATCTGTGCCACGCCCCTGTGATCACACTGACAGATCAAACTAATCCTGTCGAGATATATGGGAATTGAGGTTCAGATCTTGTTAATATATCTATTGAGGATAGTGTGTTTAATGAAGTTGTATATATATAACATAGAAATGTGAGAATGCCTGTATAACTGACTGTGCTATGTGTGGAGTGGAGATCAAAACAAGATGGATACAAGTGATTTATGGTACCGAGCTGAGAGGAAAATAAAATTTATATTGAAAGCCAATTCTCCGTTTATGAAATGTTTAACAATTGGCTTAATATAGCTACTTCACATGTCTTTTGGAAATGGTGATATACTTATCTATAATTAAAAGCTACATTTCCTGAATAATTTTTTAGACGGAAACAGTAAATTATTTGGGTAATAAGAAAGGATAAAATACTTATTGTACAATGTATTTTTTCTAATAACCCCAAACTGTTCATTGTAACAAAAGACAGTCTCTTCATGTAAACCTATATGAAGCACAATATTGTTTTGTCAGATGAGACCAGTCATCGGTATAAAACACTTGTCAGACGTTTTTGGTCATTTCTAGAAATTCAGAAAGTCGGCATTACTGCCTTTGGTATGTAGGAACAAATGTGCCCGAGTGAAATCTAAATCAAATTGCTGACTATTCAGAAATACAAATGTGATGACTTTATCTACTTTTGAAGTGCACATTTTCGCACAGCAAATTCTGTAAACATTGAACGGTTTTTGTTCCATGTTTACAGGTTTTGCATTTACTGTAACCAGAAGAATATACATACATAATACGACATTAAGTATCGTGTATATAGAGCTCGTATTGATGAAACCATTCTCCGCTCAAACCTACTTTCTTATAACTTGTTTAAATAAGGTGATATTGTTTAAAGGTCAAGCCTAGACACCACTGCTAATGCTATAAGACTCCAAGTCTTTCAAAATTCCTCGAAATCATTGGGAAAATGTGAAATTTAAATAATTTACCACCGAAACAAGAAATTGGATTTGAGTACAGAATTTGAGCTTGGGCGTGAAAATGTTTTCATGAAAACGGGCCTTGGTTTAAAAGCCTGAAATGTATAACGGTAAACTACAAAAATGTCTGACGCGAATATGTTCACTTTCATAGTATTTGCAGTCTAGTTTGTGAGTGTGTGTGACTGGCCCATTTAACAGTTGAGGTGTGATATGTTAGTAGTGAACGGTTTTGTGAATGAACGGTGTGCTACTTTAGAAGTATATACATTCTTGTTTACGTGACTGAAAAGTTGGACTATTTTTTGACGGAAGTGTTGTGTGCAATCTTGTGTACATTTGCAATACAAGCTAATTTTATACAATACTTCTATGTGTTTGTTGTTTGTAAGTCCGTCTGTACAGAAAAAAACATACCGTCACTGTACCCAAATCAGGACAGTACCCTAAACGGGACACTTGTGATAAAACGGCCCAAAATACTGTCATTCAATGCAAAGTAGTACTTTTATGTATACAATTTTCATTTGATAATACTTTTTATGACAATTTAAATGCATTAAGCTTTATTGGCTGCTGATTATCGTTACATGGATAATTTAAGGTACGAATAATTATCAAAACAAGACTTTTCTGATTTACGTGCCTTGCGACGCTATTTATTTGGATATCATTTTCAAACGTCAATTTTATCAAAACTAATGCTAGTTTGGAGAGGAAATTTAATCAGAACCCTCGTTGACCCTAAAATATTTTAACTATGCATATTTTCTGCCGATATTGGTCGTTTATCCCCAAATACTCGCCAGTAACGAGAGTAACTTTTTATAGAACCACGCGCCCGAAATATCAAATTGTGTTAAAAATGAAAAGTGGATAGTATCTATTAATGAAAAAAGAACAAACGTTTTTGGAACTGATAGCATGGTAAAAAGAACACTGATATTTATCTGAAAAGTGTCCCGATTAGGGTACGGTGACGTTAATACAACATTGTAAATCGTCTATATCTGACTAAAACCCTCAAGGAAAAAAGTTACTATACACCTGGTCTAGCTGTTTAGAAAGGTTTCCTGACACATCCCGTCATCTTATTAATAAGTAGAAGTGATCTTTTCCACTAATCGATGCAAAAACACATGTAATGCTTTACCTTTCTACAGAGCGCTGAGTTTCGCTCCCCAATGGTCTCGATCTTATCTCTGTGTCTCGGCATATCGTTCAAACTTTTGCAGTAAGGCATCATTACTGTCGCGAATCTCATCGAATGCTGGTAACAAATTTCCACGTTCAATGAACAAATCTCTTTGGTGTACGAGTACTAGGGTTCTCTCTCCTTCTACAGGTTATATTAGCTCGAATTTCCACTTGTGCTCCTGTTTCATTGTTGCCTCCGCTCTGGCTTCCCGTTCAGCTTCTATCTTTGTCTGTTCTTACAGTAGATTGCTCTCTCCTGTCCTCGCTCATCTCTCGCTCGGCATTGCTGTTCGCTGGCGAATTTCTGTAAAGCATCTCCTTCATACTTCATTTCGTTCCCGGGAGCTTTCAGATCTTGTAGAAAAAACATGTTGGAAGCTACATGCGCAACTTAGATCACTACAAATAAAGGACTACGGACAACACAATACAATAAAACAACATACTTACCAACCGTACAGACTCCCCGCGTGTTTCTGCTCTTCTCGCCTCCTGACACTTTCTCTTACCTCCTCCCCTCTTCCAAAAAGGCTTCTATGATGTAAATAAAGGGCAAGGTTCGAAAAGGAATTTAAGTTTTCATAATTGCCCGAAACAAGAACATATATTTCTGGTTAATTACCCAGCATACAAGGGTTCCAAAAACATGATGAGCGTCTAGTAGTTATACGGGAAAGAAAACAAGTACATTATATTTGCAACATAAACAGACCACACTCACACAAACCCATTTCACACGGTAATGATACTACACGAAAAGCTCTGTTGCAACTTGATGTGATTACACACTTCTCTCGCTATGGTTTACACTGTTACGTCACAATGTGTTCAAAAGACAATATATTCCGCTAACAACAGAACAGTCAAGTAAATCTGATAAATGTCCACAAAGGACACCATGTTGGTGTATGAAGACGAGTCACGTCATCGTTTACTGTGTTGGCTGATGCGCACGGTTGTGCTACCCTGTCGTCGCCACCAATAGATTAAATCTTGGCCTGTTCTCTGTAGGCTAACTTTGACTGACGTCGATCCTGGCGCAGACCAACAGATTTTAGGTAAGTTAGCATTGTAAAGATGTTTACTGTTTGGAAAAGGGGATTTGAGATTTGTTATATTGTTATGAAGAAAATATGTTGTTGGTGGAAGGTCAATGTGTTATGATTAGTGTGTTACTGTCAATCGCTCGTGACACGCTGTGCATTGTGACTGGTCTTCGCACTTCAATAAATATATATTACAAGAATGGGAAGGTCAGACAATTTACCAAAACGACCCCAAAACGCACCAAATACGATCTAAAACACACCAAGCGAACCATTAACACATTAATGATATCTTTAGACGAATGATTTAGTAATAATTTCCAGTAGCATTGTCTGAAAAATGACAATGTTATGCTACCGGTAAAAGGGGAAGTAAATCGTGACCGGCAATATAATAACTGCTTTCAACGCTGTGTATATCATTGAATTAATTGACTATAATAAACAAAATAGGAATTAGATGGATATATACATCATCGAATCACTGCTATGTGAAAACGATGTTGTGGGAGTTACTTCCCCTTGTTCTCTACATCTTGTGACCTTTTCAGTGAGATAGGTATAATATGCATTTCACTTTGTTTGAGCTTTATGGCTTCAGCATTTGTTCAGTGTATTTTTTTTATGAAATACGTTAAATGGTGTTTTCTCTGTGATGTTTTCATTAAACAGTACCATATACTATTGGTTTGTGCTGTGGAATATTTTAAATATCGGCATCGACGTTTTCTCTCAAAAACAAATAAATGTTGAAATGTAAAATGGTGTTATGTAAATATTTTATTCTGATGGCAATATGTAAAATACATCTTATAAAAAGGTTTTTAAACAACAACGAAGACACAATTTAGTGATATATTGTACATATATGTGTAGTTTAAAAATAGCAATAGGCCCAGTGGGCCTGCTTCGCTTACCTAATACAAATCTTACATTTATAACCTGAAAATAAAGCTACAAGCTAAATATCAGTGACCCCTAGGTCATTCAAAACTGTTAAAACAGAAATACATTTTACCCCTGTGACCTTGAAGTCTAACAAGGCAGGTAGGAAGGAGAAAGAAATATAAAGATTCCAAATGTTGCAGGGGGCGGGGGCAGCAGATCAGTTGTGATTTCTACCATGTCCCGATTAGCAGAAGACTACGAAGGAAGCCCCGACTCTTTAACGACAAGACATTGTTTGATACAGCAGGCCTGTTTTTTTCCCGAACATGCAGGAGTACCTCGGGAAATTAAAGCGACCACAACAAATCTACTGCACTCATTGCTTAGGGTCTTAATATTTTCTCTCTCTATTCCTTACAAATGTTTTCATTTCCTTGCCAAATGTTGAACGTTCGCCCAAGTGGCACAACCTGCAGGCCAGGGATGAGAACAGAATGCACTTGTGACCCTCTACATATTGTTAGTGGCATCTAATATGGCAAACCCTTGCAGGATTGGGGGATATGGTTTTGTGACCAAAATACTGCACCTGCCATTTGTGATCTTTGGATTTTCTGTCTTCTGACTTCTCAACGAACTTTTTGTTTGGAATTACCTTACAGTTTGGCCTTTTTCTTCTTGAATGTTTGCCTGTTGGTGGATAGCTGTTCTGGGTGTCTCTGGCATGTGTTTCAGTGAGGTTTGATTTTTGTTTTATTTTGTTTAACGTCCTATTAACAGCTAACGTCATATTATTACGTGCCTCCATGTGTGTAGTGTATGCGTGCTTACGTGTTGGAGGTGGTAAGTTGTTGTATTTTCCTCCTTGAGATAGTGCAGATCTAATGCCAGGTTTGTTACTGCCATCACACCAAGATACCTTTCAGAAGGTATCCAGCATAGTGTTTCAGCTGGTCACATTGAGGAAGCACTCGATGTGATCGGAGGTATCCAGCATAGTGTTTCAGCTGGTCACAATGAGGTAGCACTCAATGTGATCGGCATCAAATCCGCGCTATCGCAAGGAAGCAATAACACAAAATACCGTTACATCCAGTACACATACTTATATACAATGCATACACACGCACGCATCCAGTACACATACTTATATACAATACATACACACGCACGCATCCAGTACACATACTAATATACAATACATACATACGCACGCATCCAGTACACATACTAATATACAATACTTACACACGCACGCATCCAGTACACATACACAAGCACGCATCCAGTACACATACACACGCACGCATCCAGTACACATACACACGCACGCATCCAGTACACATGCCCACGCACGCATCCAGTACACATACTTATATACAATACATACACACGCACGCATCCAGTACACATACACACGCACGCATCAACTACACATACATACTCACGCATCCAGTACACATACTTATATACAATACATACACACTGGGAATGACGTTCTTTGGTTCGGGGAAAGAACAGACCTGCTGTATCCTTCTAAACTTAAGTGTCGTTACACTCAACTGAAGTGTTGTTACACTAAACTGAAGTGTCGTTACAAATATCATTAAATAATCAAAGTGTATCTTATAAGGCTAATTTTATCACCAATGCTATTAAATCTATGTTCTAATTTTCATTGCTTCACCATGTGAAAATCTAAGCGTGCTATCGAAACTTTGGAGTTACCTCCCGTTGAACGATCAGTAAGATTTTTCTACATGTTTACGTGCTTCTTGTTTTATATTAATTTTCTTTAATGCAGTGGCGGATCCCGAGACCCATCTTGGGGGGGGGGGGGGGTTTCCAAATTTCCTGGGGGGGTTTCCATGTGGGGAAAAATTGAGGAAAATGGTGAAAATACATGATTTTTGAAGAAAATTCTCAGGGTGGGGGGTTTCCTGAAGCCCAAAGAACCCTCTGGATCCGCCACTGTAACGCCCGTTCATTTGTTCACGTGTTTTACGCAATACCATAAGAACACGACTATTTCAGACTTATTACCACATAAATTATAAATACATGTCTGCCTAAACCTACATTTTAAAAGCACGTGTATTACAGTATGCGCTGTAAAGGGAGGTAATTCCGTAACGCTTGGAGTTAAAATATGAACTATTGCCCTTAGTCAGCCGTCAGCTACACCGTACGAGGGACCGTATACTTCCACTTTTAGTGTAGTACACTAACTTTCTGT